TTTTTTATTAATCGATCGTTCTAAACGAGCAAAGCATCGCTGCAAAGCTTGGCTCGTTATGGCCGATCGTAGGTTGTTGTCGACGTTCGTCCATAAAAGGCGACGCACCCTTTCGTGGATCCTCTCGTTCATGGTAGGCTTCTTCCTTTCGGCACGCTTCACGTTCAGGATCTTTACCAGCGGCTTGATCGTGATTCCCTGGGAACAAGACAGTCAATTGATAATGAACGAACGGAGATTATAATTTTTACCGAGTGACAAGCTTTTTAGATTTTGTTACATTTATGCGCCTCGTTAGTCGAGTGTGACAAATGGTTTCTACCCCCGTTTATTTTCATCGTAACGTTTGCACGTTATCAACATTCGTACATGAAGCGTGGTATTATTCCCTCGTTACTCGAGTTGGCACTGTTTCCCATGGTTCGTAAAAGAAAATAGTTAGAAAATGTAATTAGGTGTGCTCGTACATTTGATAGATAAATATAAAATCTCCTTGATTTGTAACAATTGATACAATCATCAGAAGAATATTTTTCCCCCAGGCACACTTTTTCTCAAGCTTTCTAGAGCACATTTTTTTTTTTTTTTTTTTTTTTTTGCGCACATTTTCCCCCTGCATATGTCGCACGCCATATTAAAATCCATTCGGAGACATGCAGCGACGTATATTAAAGTTGAGCACAAGATATATTTTCGCTAATACAGAGTGTTAGATTCCGTGAATTAGGAACAATGCTCTTTGTTCTCGGGAATCGAGAATTTGTGTAATGGCTACTCGAAATAGATCCAAGATGAGAGAAAATCAACAGGATTAGAAATTAGGCATGAAAGCATCTTTTATATCTTAATTTATCGCGGAGAGAGAAAAAGGGGCGAGGATGACTAGAAGGACGAACGAAGGGGAGTCAGATGAATTTTACCCTTGGCGAATAAGGGTTCCTAGTTCACTTCGACAGCGAAAGTATTCTGACTCATAGTCAGTGCACTGACAACATCATTAAGAATGATCCAACAGCAGGTTTCAACAAGAAGTGAGAATTTTTATGAAATATTTATTTCCTCGAAATATTTTTCTTATCAGTAGAACGCGGTCGATCGATAATCTATCGATCGATTGGACGACAAGTTTGATAGTGTTGTTTTTTTGAGAATTAAGCAGTTGCGCGACGAGATCGCAAATAGAACGCGCTTTCCCAGAATGAAATTCTCTTTCTGCTCGAGGCGCTTTAACCTTTTGCAGTTCTAATTACGGTCCTACTCTATTTGCCATGCGCTTTCTTTTTTTATTCATTTTTTTTTTTTTTTTTAGATTCGATTTAATTCATCACCGAAGAAGCCCGGCGAAATTAAAGCGAACAACTATGCTAGAAACGTTGATAAATAGCAATGGACTCTCTCGTCCGAGTCTAGATCGATATTCCCATCGCGAAAGAAGCATATATATATATATATATATATACATACACACGTATAGTTCTTACGTTCTAATTACTCATATCAAGTTGTCCTTTAATTTAATTTACCGGTGCACAGATATCTTCCGACGATGAATATCTTATATTTGGTTATTCATCGCGAAGGCCACTCAAGATGACATTTACTCAAAGTGATATGAATTTCCATAGAGTCGAGACTTTATTAAATGACACGTGCGCTTTTTCGTTAGACGTACGTGGCCTCCAATGGGAAATCTTTTACTGAGATCTTTTCGTCTCTCCGGGCAATAAATTATTTCAAGCAGTATTTTTTTCATTCTTTTTATGCGAGATTCCGAGAGATACAATTCTCCCTCGGGGATATTTCTCGTCAGTTGTCGCATTCGCCTGTCCGTATATGTCGTAGATAGGAGCATTTATCCAAGTTCGAGCAACGAATAATATTCCGTCAATCTGAACTTGTTGAACGTTCTCAGTAACTCTTCTACAAAATCGAGCCGAATGAAATTAATTTCCCGAGAGTTAAAATTCTCTCATTAACTTTCAATATCTTGCCTCTGATAATCTTTCTGCGCCTTTCAAAACTTTTCATCCTTCGCCGATAGGATGGCCAATTGTCCCCTTCGCTGATCTGTGTGTCGCCGTTCGAATGAAACTACGATTTTCACGGCAGCTGCGACGTGCACGGCCACTGTGTTCTATAATAGAGTTCACAATAGAGCCGAGAAATCGATGAGCATCGGCATAAAGAAAGGTCATCGCCGACTGCGTATTTATAACAAAGCAGCTAACAAAAAATCACGATGCACCACCTGGGTGGAGATTCAAGCGAGTAAGCTGCCATTTTCACGTGTCAATCGCAATGAAAGCTTCTCAGGTGCACACACATACATGTATCGATGCCACGAGAGAATGGCTCCCTGGATATAAAAATATAAGTAAAAAATGTAGAATGTTAATAATCTTGGGCGGAGGAAGAAAACTGAATTTGAAAATTTATCGAGCACGCGTGTGTAACCAGTGCTTTTAAACCCTATTTTCGCGAAAGCTTTAACTCCTTTAGCACTCAGAAAAATAAGTTCTACTCATGGTCCGTGGGCTCAGAGAAATAATGGGCGCCGTGGGATAGGTTAAACGAAAAAAATTTCACCCCTTCCTTAGGAACTTTCAACTCTCGAAATTCGATTATTTCCAAAGAAAGACCTTTGTACAAAATATTCCAAGAGCTCTCGTTATGTCATAATTTTCGACTGCACTACGCAATATATAATGCGTGTAAAATGTATAAAAGAGGAGCACCATGTATGTCGATATTATGCTCGAAAACAGTATAGTACGATGTGTTTGCGGTCACTGCGGAGACAAGTTGTAAATGTTGGCGTATTTTCCGCCTGACGCGTCACCAATAGTTGTAAGAGCTGTGATAGCCAGTTCCGGTAGCCATATGCATTCTCACGCTTCTTAGTCTCTTACGAAACATTGTTAGATTTAATTTCCACGGGCAACGATTGAATCAAATATCACGATGTTTCAATTATATCGGTGAATTAAAATATTTGATAATTCTTAGTTATCGTTTCAGCGGCATCATATTTTATTTGATGAAAAGACGTCTTCTCCGCGTCCTTTCACCAATATGCCGTTTCAACGCTGAATATTTCAGATGCTCTCAGTCTTAATTAATATTACAAATTGTTTAAAACTGCGTGCAGAGGAGGGATTGAATCTTTCAGCGTGTTCTACAAATTAATATTGAAAAAGAAATTAATGCCCTCGAAGGACGGGTCTGCAGTCCGCTTCGCCTCGACTCGCCACCCAAACAGATTTTCATCTAAACTGCATTTTAATTTTACAAACGGCGTAATGACAAGATCTTAAAGGCCGTCGTCTTAAACACTTGGCTGTGAAAGCCATTTAAGTCCCCCTTCCTCTTGGTCGAAGGACCTTTTAACCCATGCCCCCTCGATAATTATTAATTAGCCGGAAGCTTTCAGAATTACGAAAAAAATCTTCGCCGCAACGATCGATCTTGTCCTCCGTACGTTAGAATCGAGGAGGAATCGAGGAAATTTGGAAGAATGGTCTCGAATGAATGGGTCTTCAGTCTGAATCAACGTTTCCCAAAGTTTACTTCCGGCGAACAACGGACTCTCGCGGTGAAGTGTTGATTTAGGGAAACGTGTTCCCCCACTATCCCAACTCGAGCAATCTCCTTTTGCTCTTACTTTTTTTTTTTCGTATCCATCAAGGTAGGATTGTTCGTGCCACCGTTCTTCTTACACAAATTTTACGTAAATTCTTCAACGCGACGATTTTTTTTTACATTTCCGTCGTTTGCACGTCGCGCGTGTATCCAAGAATATGCTCAACTTAAATATTCTTTTGAAATGAAACACAAGCACTGCCTTACCGTGCGCGTGCTTAAAGCACGGAAGGATATCTCGAGCGTACCACGCGTCATGTCGCGTCCTGCTGATGTTTTAATTTAAACTTGGGAACAGAAATGGGAACGGGAAAGCAACGTTGAACCTACGTTCGTTTAGACAATTGTCGTCGACGAAACAATCCCGGCATGTATTGGGATAATCTGAACGAAGAGGCAGCATGAAGGTATAATGGCGAACGTGAAAGGAAGCATAGCGGGGGTCGGTCCATGGTGCTCGATGGGAACTGCACGCAACAATGCTCGTAACGGAGATGAAAAGAAGGTAATGCACAGATCTCTGCTGTTTGCTTAAATGTCTTCTTTCGAGGCAAATATTCTTCAAAAGTTTGCCGTGCTGTTCCGCTGCGCGAAACAGAAGGGAACGCTGCCTCGGACTCGGGCTCGAATGGCTTTCGTCGTCCTTGCTGTATAATTTCGCTTACGTATTCTTTTCTACGTTGCGCGTTTCACAAAAATTAACACTGCCATTCCCATTGTAAACATTCTATCCGACGTTCTACTTTATATTTTATAAAAATTAATGTTTAACTCACATCTCTGACAGAATAACTTTCGGTTTTCCAAATACCAAGCAGAGTCACTGATAATTTCTAACATTCGAAGGTGTTCCAATATTGACAAAAATTGTTAGTTGAATCGTAAAGTGATTAATTCGGACTCGTTTTAAAGCTCGAAACGTTCACTTTCGAAAATATTTAACAACGATTTTACGTAATGTTTAATAATAATTTTACATAAAAAAGGGTTGAAAAATTTTTCTCGTGACTGAATCTATAATGAACTCGAAGACTGAAACTGCAACGACCCCTGAAAACTTGACGTACGATCTTCCTTCACCATTCGATTGAACTTTGAATATTAGGCTCAGACGATGAAAATTCAAAGTTCAACAAATTGGCGAAAAGAAATTGTACAGCAATTTTCGAGGTATCGTCGCGAAAAGGAGGCGATCTTGATCTTTAAATCCATCGTCATAAAGTTATCGAAAAGTTTTTCAAAATTTTTGCATTCTACGTACAATATTGCAGTATTTTCGAGAGGAAAATACAGTTTACAGTTGCCCCTTCCACTCGCTACATATTTTAAAAACATGACTGAACAAAATAAACGATACGATTTTGAAAGTGAAGGCTTTAAAACGAGCCCAGGCTGATCGTTGCCCTACCGCCACTCACGGAACAGTAGCAACGGTTTAAACACCGACAATTTTCTCTCCAACTTTGGAAATTTTGTGCTTCGATCGCTTTGCACGAGCGACTGCAAACTGCCCGCGGTAACGTTTCATTACCTGCCATTTATCGTGCAGCGAGAATTGATCGCGTTACCGTCGTCACCTTACCTGTATGAACACCGTGAAATAGATGACCGCGATCGTGGTGGTGACGAACATCGGCTGCAAGGACACGTGCCTCGGGTCGATCAACAGGACCAGAGCAAACGCTACAGCGCCTCGTAAGCCACCGTACGACATCACGAACTTCTCCACCTTGTTCAGCTTATGCAGTCGGAATTGATTAGCCAAGGCTGTCAGGAAGATCACGCCTGAAATTCCATTTCAGTTCCGAGTCAACGCGCCTGGCCATTCTGTCGTTTGACACAACCTCTGACAAACCACCCCATGTCTCGAGAGTTGGTCATGTATCTGTTTGTACTTTACGAGTTCTATATGCGTCTATATCATCGATACGAAATTCTGGTTAATTATCGACCTGTACGTTTTGCGTGAGTAAAAAGCAGTTTTGTTAGTTTCAACCCCTCGCCTTACGATTCCCTTTTCAATTTCAAGGTGTAAGGCGGCACTTGTTGAAACTGTAAAACTGATTTAGGGTTATTTAAAGTATCGTAACGTTATGTGTAATATTTGTTTATCAATGTTTAGTTTAATGAAATGAAATTTAAAGACTGAATTGAAATCTCGTAAGTTTACAATTTACTTTTTCCTTTAAACTTGTACCATGAGTACAACTCGATGTTATAAGTCAAGGGGTTAAAAAATCGTGGCTTTAAAAAGAAAAAAAAAAAAAGAGAGAAAAATGGAGGAAGAATACGGGGCTGGGAGAAGAATGGAAAGCAGAGCGTTTCGAGGTATATCTAGCAGAGATGGCCGATGAATTTTTTAAGTATCGCCGTTGGCTGACGATTTAGCGATAAACCGTCGATGGAGTAGGAAGCCGTAAGCCCGTGACAGTAATCCGTGATGTAAACTGCTGGTTGCGGAAGGAGTTCAGACGAATCTTGTTAAGAGTCTTTCGAGATATTTCGTGGCTTAAGCTCGAGTAGGTTCAGAATTCTTCCAGAAATTATATTCCTCTCGTTCGTTTAATGGCTCGCGTCAATTTCGATATTGGCCATTTGGCGTGATCGGAGATACATCGCTCAGGGGGTTGTAATTACATATTCGTTCGACTCGTCGCGATAAGTTTCCCCGAAAATTTACCGGTTAATATCCCACGTGATCGATCATCCGGCTAAAACAGAATTCCACTAGGAAGCACATATTCCGTCTCTAATCTCTCACCCCTTTTGCTATCCAAATTACACCGAACAACAGGAAACAATGCTCGGCGCGGCGCGTGCCAAGTCCCTCCCCCCCTCCCGCCCCTCTTCGTCGGGTTCATCCCGGCTCGTTATCCCGCAAAAAGGGAAACAGCGAAGGGCAAGAAACGCCGCCTATTCTTGGCACGATCCCGTAACTGTTCGCTAAGTAAGTGACACGCGATAAGCCATGATCGGTTTAGCTTAAGACTCCGTTATCTCTTGATGCCATTAGCAACACTATCTCTCCGCCCCGCTCTCAAGTTCAAATTGTCCGGCTTGGGCTCACGTGACGCGATTACCGTCACGAGCAAGTGCATACATACGTACATACGTGATGCGCTCTGGTTGTCTGGAGGAGTTAGAAAAAGAAAAAAAAAAAAAAAAAAAAAAAAAAAAAAAACAAAGGTTTAATCGGAATTTACGTTGAAAGATCCTCGAGAAAGAGAGAAATCTCCACTTGACCTTCGCGAACGTTTCCTTCTCTTTCTCTCTGGTTAGCTTTCAGTAGGAAGGATAGGAAGGCCGGCATTACTCTGGCCTTGGCATTACTCACCGACGATTCGATAAATCGAGCAGAACACGATGGTCATGACGACGAACCACGTGTTCCAGTCGTGATGGTTGTTCACCGTGGCGACCCCGAGGAACATAAATATGATGGTCTCCGAACTGCTCGACAGCATTTTCATCGTGTACTTGACAGTGGTGTGCGACTTGTGCGATATATTCGCCTCGACGTAGTTCTTCATGGTGATGCCGCAGAAAGTGATCCTACAGGCATACAGAGAGAGAGAGAGAGAGAGAGAGAGAGAGGGGGGAGGGAGGGTCACGGTTAAATCGACATCGGGGCGATGTCTGGACGACAACGCAACAAGAGGGGTGGCTCCCAATCCAGAGAGGTTAGGACACTAGGTCCTATCGATCGCACTCGGCCAGTTTCCTAAACTCGTCGTCGAAATTAATTCCGGGGGAGGTTTACGAAATCGGCGGGTCGATTCGATTTACGACAGGGACGTGCTCGCTCTCCGCTTTACCCCTGTAAATTCGTCTGTCCACGTCTGTCCACGTCTGTCCACGTCTCGTTCGTAGTACGTTCAGATCGTTCACCGTTTCGATCCACTGATTCATTCGTTGATTCAGGACAGGGGACAATTTGAACGTTGTTTCGTCCGCGCGACCTGCGGAAGAATTTTTAAAGAGTTTTTTTTTTTTTTTTTTTTTTCGTTGGCGTAAAGTTCGCGATTTTTTTCTCTTTGAAAACTTGTGACAAAAGGAGGAGCTAAATTAATTCCTCGCGGAGAGCGTGGAAGAAAGTCTTAATTGAATTCTTCTGTTTGTTATTCACACGACTCTTCCGCGTTTTTTTTTTTTTTCTTCGAAAACTGGACAAACGAGGGAGACCCAACTCCCATCTTTTAACCGAGATAATTTAAAGAAAGAGGAGAAGTTGAAGTTGTCCAAACATTCGCGCGTCTTACAAACGCCTTTGATTAAACAAACTGTCGGTATCTGGCCATCGAATGGTCGTGCGCACTCGAAACCCTGTGTTTCGTCTGTTTGTCAATCAAACATCGGGGCGCGGGCTACTGTTTAATCGTAATAAATAAAAATCACGGCTGCCGGAACAAGAACCCGGCCGATTACGGGTTAAGCATATTTGAACAGTTATTACACAGGGGCATACTTGTGCGCTCCGGGATCGATCATCGACTTCGCCTAGCGAAACGGTGTAAATAATAGACTTAACAAGAGTCGCGCCCCGTCATCGTAGTAAGGCTTTCCACCATTTATTTCCCGGCGATTTGTTACTCGTTCCTTTGCGTTCTTTTTTTTTTTTTTTAAAGACCAGCCTCGGACGATTTATCGAGCAAATCGGCGATCACGAGAAAAAGCTGCCACACGCTTTCGTTCGACCTTCTTTTTTCCCCTTCGCCTTCGCCCGTTTCCACGACACGTCTCGCGGATTCGACGATAAAAAAGGGAAGAAAAAAAAAAAAAACGAAAATAATCTCGTAGTTTCATTCGCGTCGTTTAATGAACAGGTTTTACGTAGGAGAAGTTTGATTAAAAGCGCGCCGATGAATCGTTGCGCTCGTGCATGACCGAATGTACAAGGTATCCTATAACTATCAACACAATCGGATACGCGGAATTCTCTACGCGGAATAAAGTTTCTCTCTCTCTTTCTCTCTTTTTTTTGGACGAGGTTTCGTTCCCGGTAAAAAAATTGAGTTAAATACACAGCCGATGGCTGTCACACGTACACGCGCGCACACGTGTCGTCTGCTGCTTTCGCAGAACTGTTTTCTATTCGAGTGTATCGGTAACTACGGGACACTTTGTACATACGGGTCGCGTGAGAACTGGAAGATCCCTTTTTGGAATTTACTGCGGGCCAAGTGAGCGTGTCGAGGAATGAGAGCTGCGCTCGTGTTGCAAATTTCTAGGTCGCGGTGGCCACGTGCAGGCCATTTGGCTTTATCGATGTAAACAAGGGAAATACACCCGAGAAATTTGCATACACCATCTCGATAATAGACCGGCCGTTTCGCGAATTTTCTTGCTGTTTCATTACGAGCGTATTAATAAACCCCGGCTTGATAAACCATCTTATACGCGAGAACTTGAAGCAATAATTGGCCACTGTAATTTCCTCGAAAGAGACAGGAATACGCGTTAAAGAAAAAAAAAAAAGATCTCTCGGCAAAGTCGTCAATTTGATCGACAATTTTGGAGGATTGTTCGTTCTTCTTAACACTTTATCTATCGCTCGTGACGAAAGTCATGTCGCTTACTAACGATCGATTATCTCGCGCAAGAACGTACATACCTATTTATCAAGCTACCTAATATAATTAATATTAATATTCCTGAATGTAATAATACTCTCCATGAACTTTTTAAATATTTTTTAAATGTTTCTTGAAAGTGTGATACACCGCTCGTAACAAACACTCTTTTATTATATTACGTTATATAGTATATTATGAATATTACAAAGTGTTCTGCTTCTTATTTCTTTCGATTCACATACTCTAAAAAGAATGCCGACTAATAAGCTTCCCTGGGCGGTGGATAAAGTGTTGACAAAAATTCGTAAAAAGGATCTTATCTTGTCGAGCGTTGGTCGATCGTTGGAAACGTACCAACCAGCTCGTTTAGCAGAGGCGGATTAATTTACTTACGCCAGAATGCTGGACATGTGAAAGATCTCGGCGTTCAGGTACGCCAGGTAAGCCATGACGAATATGAAGATAGGCTCGATCACGCGAACCTGATGGGTGAACCTCGTGACGAAACCAGTAGCGAAGCCCCATATCACGCCGATTATCGTGCCGCCGATCGCCACCACGAAGAACGAAGCCAATCCCGACAGTATGTCCGTGTAAAGTATTTCCGTCGGTCCTATCTCGTTGTACGCCTCGAACATATGGTACAGCACCTGCGTGTCATTAAATGACCACAACTTATTCAGCTGTTCTCCCCACCCAGCTGATTAAGAGATCCCGCGAGATCGCCACCGGCTAGATTAGAGAATTCCTCGAGCGTACCTCGAGCGAAATGCACCTGCTTGCAGAGTGACGTGCGACTCTACAATGGCGAACGCTACGAGATCCGGGGAGCCTTTAATCGTGTAACCGTTGTTTCGAGATAAGACCGCTGTTTCCGAGTTTCAGGTAATAACGTTTCCAATCTGCGCTGAGATTCGAACTCTTACTTCAAATCACTTTCCGTCTCGTAATTATTATCTATCTACCGTTTTGTATTTTCAACGGCGAATCGTAATGATCGATAGGCCGTCTTACTATAGAAATTGGAATTGGAAAATGGAAATTCGCTTCGTCTGTTGGATGTTGTACAAAAGGACTCTGCAAAGTTGGATATTTATACGCTCGCAGTGAGAAAGACAGCGCACACGTTGCGTTTATTCATCATGAATGCACGTACACGTGCACGAGCTAATTATAACAAAGCGATCGCTGGGAGCAGTGTATTCAACGCGGGAAGTTCTAGGCTGATACTCACGACGGTGACTGCGTCGTTTAGCAAACTCTCGCCGAACACGACGATGTACAGGATCTCGTTCACGTGGATTTCCTCGAAGACAGCCAGCACGGCGACCGGATCGACGGCGCTGATCAACGCCGAGAACAGGAACATTTGCAGCATCGGGGTTTCGAAACCGAAAAGCCCGCTCTTGCCCAGCACCCACAGCGACGCCCCTGCGAACAGTCAGCGCGGAAAGAAACGAAACGTTAGAAAATTAACCACCAACGATATTACAATCCGACCATTCGTTTGCTCGAAACGCAATTTAAACGTCACTGAAATCCCGCTGATAGTCCATTAAAAGGTCGATACATGAATTATACTGGATTTTCAATAATTGGCAAAACGATCGAGAATAGCTCGTTCGCGGACAGCTTCGAGTCGCGAATCCTAAGTGTTCTGTAGGTATTAATTAATTTCGAACTTCATCCCTTCGTGCTTTAAATGCCTATATATGTGTGTAAAAGTGAATACGCTTCACGTTTCGTTTTATCCTCTTTCTAAAGTTGATTTAATTTAAAACGAAAATGTCGTAATTGTTAATTGTATTCATTTTTCTTCCCTTTGTCATTCCAATCGATCTCGTCAATCGTTCAAAGTTTAAGCTTCAAATATATATACAGAATCCAATTCCGTCGTATCGTAATATACGGCACGTACATGTATCAATATATATATATATATATATATATGTATACAATATGCGCTATGTATTCCATGCACATCTGTTAAAATGTAGAAATTTAATATTGAAACTATATACGGATATATCCATTCAATCATCGTCATATCAACTTCGATAACAAATTTTCTTTTTTTTCCTCGCAGTGTAATAAAATACGAAAATAGAATTTCTTTCGCATTATTAAATTTTCGCAGAAATTTTTATCTGATGTTTCCTCTTTTTTTTTTTTTTTTTT